GGGGGTGGCCATTGACTCTTTGCCCCGTCTTGCCTCCAGCTTGACCCACGGCTGGTCTCTCCTTCTTCTTTGACCCATGTCCTTCCCTCGCACGACTGCCTCCTACCTCCACCTCCATAATCCCCAGCTGTGTGAGCCTTTGTGCAAACAGGCCGAGGTACTTGGGGAGGCAGCAACCGCCTGATTGGGGTTACAGGGAGGGGGCAGAGCCGGGAGGCTTGGCAAGGAAGGGATGCCGCGGCGAAGGCTTGCAGTTGGCATAGCGGAGTTCCTGTGGGTTGCGAGAGTGTCGCATCGCTCTGGGAGAGAGTCCTAGCCCTCCAAAGTGGGAGAGAGAGAGAGAGAGAGAGAGAGAAGGGTGGACTATGGTAACAGCCCGATAGCAGGCAGATTCTTGGCAACAGTTGAACAGATTATCTTTAGTTTACAAGACCCCGTTAAAATTCCGTCTGCAAGAGCAGGAAGCAGCTGGAAAAAGGACAGCAAGATTGCCAATTTGCATAAGGCAGGGAACCTTCTCTCTCTCTCTCTCTCTCTCTCTCTCCTTGTGTGTCTTGCATGCACACGGCATTGGTGGAGCAAACCTTGCGCCTTGGCTCCGTCCATCGGCTCTCGGCAAAAGAGCAAGCAAAGGCTTTCCACCACAGAAGCATTGAGGCTGAATGGAGTGGAGTAGTTGGGGAAGGGGAGAAAAAAAACGAAGGTAGGCAGAGAGATTACAGTCTGGCTCACCAGGAGCCAAGCTGCAGGAGATTTTGGGCCTGGGATTCAAACTCCCCCCACCCCCCCCGGCAAAGAAGCAGCGCCAAGACCCCAGCGCAAAAGAGAGCAAAAAACAGATTGCAGAAAGTACGGGTTATCCTTGACTTGCGACCACAATTGCAGCCACAAATTCCTCCGCTAAGCGGGGTGGTTGTTAAGTGAGCTTATGAGCGTTAGCGCTGTGATTGTTGAGAGAATCCCTGCGGTTGCTAAGCAAACCCCTTGTCCATGTTGGTTGTCGGTTGCAGATCTGGAGCAAGGGTGCCAGGGATGGTGCCACTCTCGTCAATTCATGCCAGTGGGGTGGCCCAGAACCCCCAATTTTGGCCGCCGGAGTCGTAAGTGCAAGGACTGCTCCTCAGGGCCATTGTAACTTCAAAGGATTGCTAAACTAACAGTTGTAATTCAAGAACGACCTGCCGTGAGGAGAGTAGGTTGCCCTGATCTCTGGACCGAGAAATCCAGGGTGGGTATTCTGGAGAAACCACAATGAACTTGGAAAAGGACCCAGGCTGGAAAATCGTGCAGGATTGTGCTTTCCAGCTAGCAACAGCAGCTGGGAGAAAAACAAGGCTCATTTGCATTTGAAATTGTTTGCATTTCCTCCGCTGTGCCTAATTCCACCTAATTCGGTTGATGAAATGTTTGTGGCTCTTCTCCGGTCACCGGCCAGATGTGTCCCCCCCCCGGCCCCTTTCTCAAAACGGAGGGGGATTTTGACTCCTGCGTAGAGCAAACGCGTTTTACTCCCAGGGGCCAGCTCGACGTGGAGGGGGGAGTGTTTTGAATCCAAGGCCTCTGGATTTAACCTCATCCTGGATGAACGCAAACCCCTTTGTTGAGAAGTGAGATACCTCGGCCTGTTCGGCAATGGACACCGATGGCGTCTCGATCTGAAGTCTGGAGATCTGCTCCGAGGCAAGGAAGCCTCGGAATCGCGCAATCCCCGCAGCTGTGCTTCTCGACACCTTGTAAGAACAATTGCATTTTTGTCCCAACATCCCATCCATATTCATTTCCTTTGAGAGGGACTCTCGCCATCGGTGGCTAACATGCAGGGCTGGGAGTCTTCCCCCCTTTCTTTTTTGTGTCTTGTCTCAGGAATTGTTTGGGGTTTTTTTTACC